GTTTTTTTTTTCAATTTAGTGCGAGGTATATCAGAGAATGGAATTTATAAAAATATATATTAAAAGATTGATATTCGTACATGTTCAAATGATAATACTCGCTTAAAAAAAATCGGAGAATTCTTATTTTATAGAATTGATGCTTTGTCGCTTAGTCCGATCCCCCCATTTCCCTGTAACTTTAGTGTGAGTTGATTTAAAGTGTCTCATTTGTTGACAATAAAGTACATGTCATTTGATGTGTGTGATGCCTGTGCTATTAATGTCGCGGAAGTGAGACACAACAAACCTATATTCCGTCGTCGGCGTCTTCATTATTTAGATTGTTATGTTACTCGTTTGAACTGTTTTTACATTTGTCATTTCTAGACCCTTTATAGCTTACTATGCGGAATGGATTTTGCTCATTGTCTTCAACAACATACAGTGACATATAGTTATAAACTGCTGCGTCATTTGATATGTTGTGGAGTGTTGTCTCATTAGCAATCATACCACATCTTCTTATTTTTATATAAGTTTGATTTGCATTAAATATTACCAAATTAAACTATTTTGTCATGATAAATTTGTAAACCTCCATGAAATGTTATAAAACTTGTATAGGAGTTAATCTTCTATATCGAGATAAAGCATGTACAGAAAAATCATTTTTTATTAATTTTGTTTTTTACCGATCAATGGACGTTTTACAGTCAACATTACACTTTTACAATGACAGCAGCAATCTCAGGCGAGACAGAGGGTTCCGTGGAATTCTTCTCGAATTTATTGTAATACTGCTTCCATTTGAGAACTAAGGGAAAAAACGGCAGGACCAAGTGGTTTGAAGATAGCCCCCTTATGTCCGAAATATTGATATTTGTTTTGTACTTTTTTTCTTATTTTTTTCTGCCGATCCCCTTTTTCATACCAAATAACTCTGAACAACAACTCGAACTTTAATTAGAACTTTAACTCAATGGATAGCGACACTCATCCGAAGCACATTAAACAAAGGACATATGGAAATCGGTCTAAAAATAGAACTAATTTTTTCCAAAATGGTCACGTGGCTTTACCTCATCAAGTAATGTGATAAACACATCAAAGAATGACAGGACCACATCAAATACAGGAACAAACACATCATGTTGTGTAAAATCGTCAAATTTTGAACCATCATTATGTAATGTTAAAGCCATATAAAGAATTGGCAAATCATCATTACGAAATAAAAAAACCACATCATGTAATGAGACAAATACACAACGTTAAGCCACATACACATCAAGTAATGTTAAAACCACATTGCCAAATGACACAACCACATTAAATAAACATAATGATGAAATCACATCGAGTTATGACAAAACCATATTAAGTAATGAAAAAACCATATCAAGTCAAAACGAAACCATATCACGTAAAATCGAAATATCATTAAGTAATGACTATTCCATATTAAGTTATATCAAACATCATTATGTAATGTCATAACCATATTATGTAATGTCATAACCATATTATGTAAAGACAAAATATCATCAAGTAATGATAAAACAACATAACGTTATATCAGAGTACCACATAAGACAGCTGTGGCGTTCCATACACATTAGTTTTCAATCTATTGATTGACTATGTGTAACAAATTCAATAGAATAAAAACAAAACTATAACGTTTAAATTGAAATATGGGATTTTGTTAATTTCCGTTTATTTCATAAATCGTTTAAGACAATGATAACTCAGAGTATCAGAATAAAATATTATAAACAATAAAACTATTTCTTTTTTTTTCTTTTTCTTTTTATGAGACTAAAATACGATTAAAGATAGTTTCTACAAGTAGAAAAAAATACTTTTATCATTTAACCTATAGAAATCACACAAGGATATATCTCTGTGAAAACGATGTTGCGATTATTATTTTTTGTTACCATGGAAAGTTAATTGTACCTGTTTGATAAGTCTGGCTAATTAGACAGGTGTTTTATATATTTATGAACTTTTAGCAGTGGAATGGTTACGATTATAAACAAACGCATCCATGCAGGATATGTGTCTTCAAAAGAATCATTACTTATTGTTCTGTATGTACATTTTTCAATCTTTGATTAATTTCAAATTGAAGAAGAAAAACCAAGTCGAGTAATCAAACTAACAAGTCGATAAAGACAGGCACCACTAAGGCTAAAAGACAAACAACGAAAGGAAAAACAATTCAACAATATACCACATAGAAAACTAAGTTATTTCAAAGTAATCACGATTACATGCTGAAAGGAAAGTCAGATTCATCAATTACATTTCAAGAGAGGATAATTGAACTGTTATTATAATCAAAACAGTTAGAACACTTACAATAGATATAAGAAGATGTGGTATGAGTGCCAATGAGCCAACTCTCCATCTAAGTCAAAATTTATAAAAGTAAACCATTATAGTTCACAGTACGGTCTTCAACACGGAGCCTTGGCTCACACCGAACAGTAAGCTATAAAGGGCCCCAAAAAATTACTAGTGTAAAACCATTCAAACGGGAAAACCAACGGTCTAATCTATATAAAAAACGAGAAACGAGAAACACTTATGAACCACATCAACAAACGACAACTACTGAACATCAGATTCCTAACATGGTTAATCCCTACAGTATATTGACCGATTTTATTTAAGTCATAAGCCTTCTAGAATAATGCTGTTTTGTCTTCCTAAATAAATATTACCTTTCTGCTAATGACTTAATCCAGATGTTACTCGTTTCACATTTTTTAACTGGGATCCTTTTATGTCTGAGTATTATGGACTATTACTATTATTGAAGGGTCAATGAGTGACATTGAAATGTATAGATATTGTTTCCCGTGTTCTTTGGGTATGGTTTATAATTTTTCGGAATTTTCGGCTATTGATGATCTTCAACTTCGTTATATTTGATTTGGCTTTATAACTGTTTTGATTCGAGCGCGCATGGTGAGTCTTATGAAGACTATACAGCTGTTATTGGCTATCATACCACTTATTTTTATATTGTTATGAGTAAACCACCCACTTATAAACTAATGAAGTTCTCATTGAATTTAAACTAAAATGTTATTCAAACGATTCTATTTATGATGTTAAGACGTGCTGCAATATAAATACTCTTTTTTCGAGGTAAACTGCTCGTTGCTTCTTTCGCTTTAATTTTCTGGGTTTTAGTGTATGTTACTGCAGAGTAAAGGTTAGTTTATAATTGGAAAGTTGGAATCGTCACATTTGTCATAAATTCTAGTTTGAAGTCGTCCATCTGTGTCAATATCGCGAAAAAGATCAAGATATGAAGCAGACCTTCTAGGTTCGGTATTATCCTTTCAAATTCAATGGGATGTATGAGATGCAAACATTCACAGAAATGTGGGCTATTGAGTAACAGGAAATCATCAGTATACATGTATCTAAAAGTGAGAAAGTGAAATGAAAGGACTTTGCAAAATGTTCTTTTTCTTTTCGTGTTTAAGAAGGTTTTGTAAGAGTTCTGCCTCGTATTCGTATATAAACAAGTCGGAAAGAATTATTGCAAATTTAGTACCCATTGGAATAACGACGTCTTTTAAAATATCAATCCCCCAAACTCACAAAGAATGTTATCGATCAAAAAGTCAAGCATTTTAATTATATCATCTTCGTAGTATTAGTTTTTGGAATCAGTGCTGTTCTTTACAAAATAACATTGTTCATGACCTAAAACGAGAAAGAAACTTTGATTCTAATTTGTGTGGATGTGACGATGTATTCGAACTTTCAGTTGTGCATGGGGAATAGTAGTGTACAGAAAACAATCATAAGTGTATATTAGCATTGTCTACTTCCTATTGTATTTGTTAATCGGAAGGGTTGTTGAGGCTTCCTAGCTAGATCCTCATTTTGATATTTCTTTAACAAAGGGAACTTAGTGTAAAAATCTGTGTCTATTGATATATGTTTTCGTATTAACCTTGAATTTGCACTATTCATAATAGATTAAAGTATGAAGATGCAATATGACGTGCTATGAAACAATTTTTCTGATGTTAGAGTTGTACCATTCACAATAAATTTAAAATTAAAGAAATGGCGTGTTGCATTTTTCGAGAGAAAAAAAACATCGATCATTCACTTTTCTTCAAAAGGTCATTAAGCGACTGCATCTTATCGTATGACAATACCACTCGTACTACAGGAAATACAAATTGTATAGTCATGTGCACGTAAAGTGTTTAACTCGGAACATTTAAAACTATAAAATACAAAACAAAGATGAGTTCAAAGAAGTTCGGTTCCTTATTTAGACATCTCTTTGTTTCTAAAATAATGCTAAATGATTTGTGTATTGTTATGTTAATTTAAATGAAGAAACATGAAGTGAATCAAAATACATTTTATCACTACTCTCTCCTTTCCTAGCATGGATAGCATATAAAAAATTAGTAGCTATAACACTGTAAACTTTAGCACAAGTGTGAAATATATTCACAGAAAAGCTATCCATAGAAAAGAAAGGTTATGGGGTATCCATGCAGTCTTTTGTAACAAGGACTATCGCAGATCTGTCATTAACCTAGAAATACATGTTTTGTTCTCAACCGACCTTTACTGTCAAAACTGCCAAAGTCAAGACAAGATGTACATCTGATTGTATCTGTGGTATCTGTTATTTCGTGCTCAATAGGGATCAATGCGATCCGATTAACATGTTCAGTGTACGATTATCATTGCAATATCGGTAGTAATTCAATTCAGTGAATTTGTAAGGACATTTGTTTTGAGAATTTCTCACAAATGAAAACTGGTTCCGATCAGTCTGTTCCCTCAAGAGTTTCCAGTCTAGATATTACATCAGGGAATATATAAAAAAAGTGATTAACTGAAGAAAATAAGTTTTACTGATTCATGTGTTGAGTCATTTGATTGTTGTTTTTTTTTTTACTAAAATGCATATAAATAACGATGTACAAATGCTCTTGACTATATATAAACAGGATGTGACATTGGAAGTCATCAATATATGGGGGGCGCTTAAGGTAGAAAATAAGACTGGCTATTATAAGAAATAAGAAGTTATTGCTTAAACAGAAATGGACATTCAATACAAGTATATCTATAGCTGGGTGGTAGTTTGTTCTTACATTTATGGTAAGCACAGTTATGTTTCCACATTTTAAAGAAGTAGATACTTGAAACGTGAGTTAAACATGCACATCAATTGCTTCAGAGTTAAATTACAGCCCCAGTACGTTATTATATGTGATATGGAAGACAACTAACATGCAGGCAGTAATACGGTTACTACCGCTGACATTGAGAGAGTATGTTTGTTTTGGTCAAATGGTGTTTTTGAGTTACTGTCTCATTGATATTACCTACCTCTCTTTATATATATATATAGTTTAATTTTGAAAACAAAATATTTAAATTCTACTTCCAGACTTTTCTACAGCTGAATATACTGTTACAGGACATGTCCACTCCTCAATCATATTAAACTGCTCATTAGATGGAACCATTACATGGTACGGCCCTGCCAAAAATCCTCCTCCACATGAAGCTGTTTATTCCTGGAAGAACCAATTAAATGCTCCCGATATTCCGGATAACTTGAGACCAAGATTGTCAGTGGTAGGAGATTTTTATCATGGGAGATACAATCTAAAAATAAAAAAACTACAGGTTACCGACCAAGGACTGTACATGTGCGAACTCAAAGGTTCGATCGACAAATTCAGGTTGAAAGTAATAGGTATGGATTAAGTTAATTTGCATCCTGGTATGTAGATCAAGTTCTAAATCATTCAGAGTCTATATGAATTGTAAATAAATTTTACAAAAAGAATCAAAGATCTGCAATCAACATGGAAAAACATCAAAATATAATACACTACAATTACTGAAGAGGTTAATGACTTGGGATAGACACATGAAATGTGGCGAGGTTTCTATCAATCGTATCAATTTTAGTTTTTAATATTTTCGGGTCCAAACTGACATTTTAAGATCTTAAACAATTTCTGGTAAAAATTTTCGTGAAATCCTTTGAATAGAATTACTTTGAATGTAATTGAAATGAAAAAGCAGTTTATTTCTTTCAAATGAACTTTATATGATTTTTAAAAGAAAAAACCGCACTGAAAATTGATGCTCTTTTGTATGGTTTTTATCGAATGCTTCAATAATGAAATTTTTTTGTTGTTGCTTGTACTATGGGAATGTTTTAACTTAACAATCAAGAAATGTCGTCTACAACTGGAATAACGCTTTTTATAATAAAAATAACAAACGTAGCATTTGAAGAGCTTTACTGTGTTTTTCTTATGAAGGATCACATTTGTATTCCTTAATATTAAATAATGAATGATAACATGGAAGGCTACATTTTCAAACAGGACCCACAGGAGAAGCCAAAAACTACTATGGACAACTTTGACTGAGGGAATCGCTGTTCTCCAGTAGATTAAAAAAAAAACATCTGATCGAAATCAATATTTAATTAACAACAATACAATACTTTATTCTCTAAAACCCTATACAATCAAAGGTACAGAGAATGACATGCAAAAATAATATACAAATAATACATAGTATGGTAGAGGTGAGTTAACATTGTTGTAGTATGAAATACAATATAAAAAAAAAACAAAAAAAAACAAAAAAAAACAAAAAACAACTTTGTAGTGTGCTTTAGACAGGAGAACCGATTTTCTCGTTGATTTTTTTAATTAGTTTACACAGTCTTTTAAGAAGAGAAATCTTCTTTGTGTTAAAAAGTTTCTCAAGTTTTATTATATTTGAGTGACTTAAATACAGTTTCCTTTCATTTTTCAGTGCAGGACATTGTAAAACATAATTATATTCGTCTCATATCTCTGATCTGTCGCAAAGTGTGCATTTTCTCTCTGATCTTTCTACATTTGTCCATCGACCTCTTTCGATTTGTAAATTATAATTTAGTGTCCTAAATTTACAAAAAGTTATAACATCTTTATTTGGAAGTATTTTTAGATAGTCTTCAAATGTTGAATCTTTCTTGAAGATTTTATAATTCAAACATTTTGGGGTGTTTTGAATTTCCGAAAGCCATGTTTGCTTAAATTGATCTGCAAGTCGAAGTTTTACCGCTTCAACTAACCATTTCGTGTTATTACCATTAATTACTTATACCAGTGCTGGGGGAGATTACTACTATATTAAAACATTTATAATTTTTATAATCAGAATTGTTAACACAATTCTGCTCTTCTGATTGTTCTTATTCAGTATATTAGAACCACATTATTACTAGTATCTAATCAATGGTTTTTTGTTGATAATTATCTATTTATCATATTTCACTTTTGATTCGTCAATCACTATTCAAATCCAAATAGTAAAATAACAAAACTACCGAACTCCAAGGAAAATTCAAAACGGAAAGTTCCTTATCAAAAGGCAAAATCGAAAGCTTGAACACATCAAACGAATGGAAAACAACTTCATATTCCTGACTTGGTACAGGCATTTCCTTATGTAGAAAATGGTGGATTAAACCTGGTTTTATAGCTAGCTAATTTATAAACCTCTCACTTGTATGCAATCGCATAGAATTCCATTATATTGACAACAATGTGTGAGCCAAAAAAAACCAGACATAATGGGTAAAAATGTCAAAAATTGGGTTACAGCGGTCTACATTGTGTTATAATCTTACTCACTGTAAAAACAAATAACTATTTCAACAAAGAAAAACAAAAGGGCATATAGACACTCTATAGACAAATACATAAGCAAAAATGAAAGACAAGAATACAAAAATGACCATAGCACAAAAGTATATTACCAAAAAATGGACTAAACAAGGTTTTCGTTGCAACACTCTACTACAGCTTGTTCAAATTGCATTTTTGTATAAATATACTCAGAAAATTAATGTCACTTTTCAGATAGACTTTTTTGGGAATTACGAGAACCCTGTAAGTGTAATAAGACGTTAAATAGTAAAATCAAAAAGTAAGATGTGTTGTATATTGAATTTCTTTGTAAATGATCAAATCCTTTTAGTTTATTTTTCGCTTTTATAGGAGATTTAACTGTAGAAGTATCTAAGACAAGCTATGTTGGAACGATAGGAGGTTCTGTAACTTTAGGTTGTATTGTTTCCTCTAAAACCAGTCCTGTCAGTCATGTATGTTGGTATTTTCTGAATCAATCAAACGGAAGCTATATACTCCTTAAACCTGATATTATTAAATACAGCAAGGCCACTCCTAATAATCCATCACTGACAATACAAAAATTGGAATTAAGTGATGATGGACTATATATATGTTCGGCAACAAACGAAGCTGGGGTTACTGGAAACAGCACTACATCAACACATTTAACAGTTATCAACAATGACAAACCAGGTAAAATATCTACACAATTTCACTTTTTTGCATTAGGGTTAAGCATACGATCGTAAATTACCCGCGTAAGCATTCTTTGACGATGTTTCCAAATATGTTAAGAAATATGTGATGGCTTTTATAAGAGCAACTTAATATACATGTTCGTGTGTTTTGTTTTTTATTTGTTGATTTTTTATCACTATTATTTTTCTCTGTTCCATCTTAAATGACGCCAACGCACTTACTAGTATTTCAAATAAATTTTTGAAAAATTAAAACTTGCTTTTTCTGCTTTAAAATGTAATCATTTTTATTTACTCATTAATTTTCCATACTTAAATGTAAAATTGTGTTACGTGCTGTAGACAAAATGTTTATCTTTGCAGATTCCACTGGCAAAAAGATTGCATATATATTCGTTTCGATTTGTTGTCTTCTTGTATTGGTAATCATAACGATCCTTACTCTGAAGAAAAAGAAACCAATATTTCTACTGCAAATAGCACATAGATTTCAGAAGGTTGAAGATGACGGCAAGTATTTAGAAATTCAGATTTTAATGCAGATAACAGATAATCATGTAAGAGATTTATAAAGGTGTAAAGTAATAACAAAACATCACGACCCCCCCCCCCCCCCCCCCTCCCATATTAACAATTTCTTTTAACATAAGCATTTCTACTCTCTTGAAATTTCTTGACCTAGCAACAAACAGAAGCAAAATAAGATTATATTGTATAACAGGGAACATATAATAAGGTTATGTTTTACCCCTTGAGTTAAAAGATCGAAAATACAAATGTGCCCCTTGATATCAATTAACGTGAAGGTACCCAAATTGCACCTATTTTGACAGTTTTTTTCACCTACGTTCATTTGAGAAACCGACAAAAGTTTTCATTCTGTGTTTATTTTATAGATGTATATGAAGCTATGTGGAAAGACATGCCTAATGTCAAATGATAAAAAACCCGAATTGTTTAGTCTCTAAGAAAACCTATAAGATTTCCTCTGCTTTTTTGCATAATAGTTGCAATTTGGATACTCGGTGCAATTTAAGTTAATAATAACGGATCTGAATTTTAATTTGTGCATTTGCCTTCAAATTTCAGGTTTTTTCATAAATGTTTAGATATGATCATGAGCTCCAGTATTTCTCGAATAGATATTTTACAACAAGCTTTATATGTCTCATACAAAGATCTTGATGTGACTCAATTATCTGTTTGGGTAATGTCGATCGTGTTTGAGTTTACCAAAATCTATATAAAAATGAATGTTTTTGGTTTAATATTTCAATTGGCACATGTTTATGGCGTCACAAATATTATGTGTGCACTAAAATGGCTATGATATATCATCATAATTCATTTATCTCTAAAATAAACATGATTTTAAAAGGATTTGCTAAACATACTATTTTTGATATTCAAGGGACCAAATAATGACTCTCATCATACTTCATGTCGATCAGTTGTGAATATCTATTCTTGTAGATTAGAATAAACACGATACATTTGCTGCTGAACTTTATAGAAACAACCAGGAATAAATCCTTCTTAGTTTTCTTTTAAATAAATAACATCGACACAAACTCAGATGAGTCGTAACACAGCAAGCTAGCTTCAGAATATACGCGTAAAACCTTTTTCAATCGTTTCACCATTAAATCAAAATGCGTGTAGTGCTACACATTGCTGTTGAACGCAATTTTGAAGCAAAATTGGAAAAGATTACGTATTTCTGTAAAATTTGCACCAAAGGACATACATAATGGCATAGTCTTAATTCCACTAGAATGGTTTTTTCATTTAGAATTATCTGAAAATACGCCAAAAATATTAATAAATTCCTAAACTTCATGCTGTGAAATTAAGTAATTTAGCTACAAAACTTTTAGAAAATGTCTGATGTGAAATAAACTCGGGGAAAATTGTATCTCTTTTAAATTATATAATTGTTCATTAACTTTTTTGTGTGGATTTTTTTTTTCAGATTCTAAATTGTGGGATGCATTTGTATCGTTTAAGTCAGAGGAGGAAGATATCCAATTCGTTTTTCAAAACCTGTACCCTAAATTGGAAAAACAACTGGGATTTAAATTGTGCATTCATCATAAGGACTTCTTACCAGGAAAAGGTCAATTAATAAGCCTTTATGAATAAAATAAAGTTGTAAACTGGGATATACATCAATGCGTCAGAGACTAAAAGCACACAAACCCACTTCAAATCTATAGATGACAATTGTCTACCACTTATTTCAAGCTCTTAATCGCCTGGAGTCTATACAGACAATGAATAATATAACAGAGACTAAAAGAAAGCCATACCACCAGCACCTGCTTGAAATCTTTGGTTAAGAAAAATATAGCAGTGCAAGGTGACCAGTTAAAAATTTAAAATCGAAAATGGATAAACAACCCAATCGACAAATGAAATATAATAAATAATCAGTCAAAAAAATCATCACTTAGAAAATGAAAGACTGAGCAATACAAAACCCCATGAAAAATATCTCCATAGGAAATTTTTAATATGAATGCTAGCATCACCACAGCAAACCCTGTCAAATTTTAAATCTTTTCATCTCATACTGGATATAAAGGGTAAGATTTATTTTTTTCAGCCATCACTGCTAACATAATTGACGCCATTGCCAACAGCCGCAGAACAATAATGATCATCAGCAAAGAATATTTGCAAGGAGGCTATACCACTTTTGAATACGAAGTGGCTCATACTGAAATGATCAACAGTAAATCAAAACATAAAATAATTCCAATTTTTCTGGATAAATTTGACAGCTGTCAAGGTTTAATGGATGAAACTCTAAAATGTATTGTACAATCCGTAACTTATATCACGTGGCCTAAAGGAACCAATCAAAAGGCTGCAGACTCTTTCTGGAAAAGACTAGAATTAGCCATGCCGAAGAAATCAAAGAAAGATCGTACAGACTGTTGTGAAAATTCGTCTTTGTTAAGACGAAGCATGATTTGAAAGATTTAGTTAATTAAATTAAACTGATGACAAAAAAAATGAAGGAATAATCAAATATTAAGATAAGCACCACATTCACATTCAGTATAATAATGTAAAAAAAAGATGTGGTATGATTCCCAATTAGACAACTATCCACCAAAGTCCGAATGACGTGGGTTAAAGCTACTATATGTCACTGCTTCAACAAAGATCAAAACACACAAAGTAAAGTCAGCTATAAAAGGCCTCGACATGACAAAATTTGAAACAATTGAAACAAAAAAACCAATGGCGCGATTTATGACCAAAAAAAAACGAAACACATATATGACAGACATAACTCAACGACAACAACTGAATAAGTGCCTGATTAGAACTCACAACATCAGTGTTGACAGGCTAGTCATACAGTAGTTTAACTACTTTTTAGACCACTCGGCCACCAAGGCCCCTTTATTTTTTTTAAATGTTAGTCCATAATTTATTGGAAATTTGAGGATTTTAACGCCGTGACCTGATTTAAAATCTACCTCAAATATTTAACATAACTTTGATAAGATCAATTAAGACTGTAAAACTTTAATTTCGTTAGTACGCCTCCTAGTCTGCCATTTTTAGAAAAAGCTCTTTTTATGCACCACCTAGGGCCATTTTGTTTTTCGGTCTGTGCGTTCGTCCGTTCGTTCCCCTTCAGGTTAAAGTTTTTGGTCAAGGTAGTTTTTGATGAAGTTGAAGTCCAATCAACTTGAAACTTAGGACACATGTTCCCTATGATATGATCTTTCTAATTTTAATGCCAAATTAGAGTTTTGAACCCAATTTTACGGTCCACTGAACATAGAAAATGATAGTTCGAGTGGGCAGGTTAAAGTTTTTGGTCATGGTAGTTTTTGATGAAGTTGAAGTCCAATCAACTTGAAACTTAGTACACATGTTTCCTATGGTATGATCTTTCTAATTTTAATGCCAAATTAGAGTTTTGACTCCAATTTCACGGACCACTGAACATAGAAAATGATAGTACGAGTGGGCATCCGTGTACCATGGACACATTTTTGTTTAATAATTAAATTAGCAAATAATGATGGAAAAAATAAAAGAATAATGTTCTATAATATTACCCCGGATTTTGGTGGGGTTTGTGTTGCTCAATCTTTAGTTTTCTGTATAGAGTTTTGTTAATTTAAATTAGGCTTTTTTGTCGTTTTTCTTTTTGGCCATGGTATTATGTTTTCCTGGGCTTGTCATTTTTTGTTGTCCATTTGTATCTTCTCTCTCGTTCTCTCTAAAAGTAAAGAACTGGGTAATATACTATAGAGAACAAGAGGCTGTAAGTTTGACAGCAAATCGATTTTCCTGCATGAAAATGATATTTGCAAATCTGGACCCCAAACAGGATCAAGTAAAAAAAATGATGAATTAATGTAGGGTTCAGAAATGGAAAAGTCAAAATCAAGCTTGACCTGCTATTTATCAATAGTGACATAGTATTGGAATTTAAGAGAGTATATAAGTACACACACATTTCATCAGCAGTTGGTTAAACGGTTGTTGTCTTGTTTCTTCAAAGTATCACAAGATTTTCATCTAAACCTTTTCAAGCTATCGCATGGACAACGCTCTAAGTATCACTTTACGCTACATAACGGTCTATAACTCATCAATAATAAAAGCTGAATTCGTGAAATTCGAACTTGACTTTCTTTTAGTCACAGGAAATAACATGTCTAAATTTGATCAGATGTCGTCAAAGCGTTTTCAAGTCATTGCACGGACAACGCTCAAAGTATCACTTTTCTCTACTTAAAGGTATATAACTCAACAAGATAAAAGCTAAAAATCGTGAAAATCGAACTTGATCTTTATTTAGTCGAAGGAAACAACATATCTTAATTTTGAAAAGATTTTATCAAAGCGTTTTCAAGTTATTGCAGGGACAACGCTCTAAGTATCACTTTTCGCTACTTAAAGGTCTATAACTCAACAACGATAAAAGCTAAAATCGTGAAAATCGAACTTGACTGGAAACAACATATCGTAATTTGAAAAGATTTCGTCAAAACGTTATCAAGCTAATGCACGGACACTTTTTTGCACTAGCACGTCCGGTCGCCCATCAGTACACTACCAAATTAATAACCGGTATTTTTCTTTGGAAATCCGGTAAAAAAACCGAACACGGGATTGGGAATTGTTTACTTTTCAAAAAATCTAAATATAGAGAACACTGTATTATTACGTTTTAAAATATCATATATAATATTAAGACAGCAACACAACGATAGAAATTAAAGAACCTTAGTGAGCGCGCTCACATACCCCACGTCCCCACATTGTCATTGGAGAAATAAAATAAGTGTAATAAAAAAAAAATTGTATCAGAAAAAAAAATTGAATCATAATTTCCTGTCAATATGCACATCTACATAGTATGTCCTCATTATCTACACAGTTTCATGAAATTCTGTTGTGTGGTTTGAGAGGAGTTGCGATGACAAAAGGTTTCAGTAGTATATTGGGCAAATAAGTTCAAAGGGGCGTAACTCCTGGAAAAAAATTGAATCGTAATTTCCTGTCGATATGCACATCTACTTAGTATGTCCTTATTATCTGAAAAAGTTTCATGAAATTCTGTTGTGTGGTTTGAGAGGAGTTGCGATGACAAAAGGTTTCAGTAGTATATTGGGCAAATAAGTTCAAAGGGGCGTAACTCCTAGAAACAAAATTGAATCGTAATTTCCTGTCGATATGCACATCTACGTAGTATGTCCTTATTATCTGAAAAGGTTTCATGAAATTCTGTTGTGTGGTTTGAGAGGAGTTGCGATGACAAAAGGTTGCAGTAGTATATTTGGCAAATAAGTTCAAAGGAGCGTAACTCCTGGAAAAAAAAATGAATCGTAATTTCCTGTCGATATGCACATCTACGTTGTATGTCCTTATTATCTGAAAAGGTTTCATGAAATTCTGTTGTGTGGTTTTAGAGGAGTTGCGATGACAAAAGGTTGCAGTAGTATATTAAAGTAAATAAGTTCAAAGGGGCGTAACTCCTAGAAAAAAAATTGAATCGTAATTTTCTGTCGATATGCACAACTACATAGTATGTCCTTATTATCTTAAAAGGTTTCGTGAAATTCTGTTGTGTGGTTCGAGAGGAGTTGCGATGACAAGAAATAGGACTGACGGACTGACGGACGGACAGACAGACGGACGGACGGGTCAAAAACATTATACCCTCCGCAACTCTTTGCGTGGGGTATAATAAACAATAGACAACTACAGGATAGTCATTAACAATGGAAAGGTGCCTAAACAATAAGTCAATCTCTCAATAGGCCCGATCGCGCGAATTATAAAAATATGGGAATAAATGATACAGAAATATAAAAATAACTGCCATATCGAAACTATAAAGCTTTGACATACGCCAACTGTTGACAGGTTAAGAAAATTCAAACTGATTTTTTTGTTTTTTAGTCTAGTCTTCTCTGAGACTACTATAACACATATTATCTGTGGTCTAATTTACTTCTTTATAAATGAAATCAGTTTATCTATAGTAGAAGTTTGCTCTTAAAAGTCGAGAAATGAGATGTTGAAATATCTATCCTGCCTTATGTTCCAATTGGCCGCTGTATCCTTCGGGTGTATCCAACCTTGATGTGTGACGAAAATAATTCAGTAAACTTTAAGTGTTGGCAGGGAGGCTGTTCAGAGGCTGTATTGTTCTCCTTATTTAAGCTCACAACAGTTCTAACGTCCTGACTTTGCCTGTGGGTGGAAATCTCAAATGTCATATGTAACATGAGCAACACGACGGGTGTCACATGTGGAGCAGGATCTGCTTACCCTTCTGGAGCACCGGAGATCACCACCCCCAAGTTTATGGTGGGGTTCGTGCTTCTCAGTCTTCAGTTATCTATGTTGTGTTTTGTGTACTGTTTTTTGTCAGTTGGTCTTTTCTTTTTTAGCCATCGCGTTGTCAGGTTATTTTTGACTTTTGACTTATGTCCATTTGGTATGTTTCACCCCTCTTTTCATACATGAGATTAATGTATTTCTTTTTTTTTTTCTTTCTTTTTTGTTATGGAAACGAAACTATTTTTACCACTTCCCTTCTGAAAAAAAACATTTTTTTTTCTCCAAAAAATTAAAAACCAAACAGTTAAATAGAAAATAGTAAGTACACAATGTTATACATGGCTATAAACTTTTTTAAATATGCGTCATAACCACAGACCGTTATAAAATATCTGTTTCACAAATGACGGCGGACATGTTCCTTGGTAACCACAATCCCGTCCTCTTTTTTTCAATGTGTGCAACATGTGGAGCAGGATCTGCTGATCTTTCCTCGGTTATAGGTGGTGTTTCCGTTGCAATTCTTTTTAAACAGTGTTTTGTAGACTATTGGGGTTTTTTTTTGTCGTTTTTCGTTATTTGCCATGATTGTCGAGCTTCGATTTTGAATTCTTCCGTTGATATCTTCCACCTCTTTGTTTTTGGTAATAGATTAGAGATAGATATTCTGTGAAACAAATCCAGATACATATTATAGTTTATTGTTTCCTTGTTCTGGATACCTGTATTTACTGAGGAACATACCTAAACCTGCAAATTTAGTCTGACCATAACAAATGAAGTCAAACTTATGCAACTGTGATAGAGTCAGATCAAAGGACGTAGGTTTCAACAAGGTCCTTGATCAGCCCATTGACTAACTCTAAATCTTTTAAACAGCTTTACCATCAATCTTATTTCACTATTTGATGGGGTTCGTGTTTCTCAGTCTTTAGTTTTCTATATTTTTATGCCAGGGCGTTGTCATTTTGTCATCCATTTTGGTATCTTCGTCCTCCCTTTTTTAAACTTCAACAATTCGAACATATGACCAATGTCAATAATTGAAAGTATATTATAAAGAATGTTATTCATTTACTTACTTTTGATCGAATGCTACATCATAATATATAATTGTAATGAACTCAATACGGAAAAACTTGAGTACGTTATTAGTCTATTTATCGTTACTGTTTATTATTGGTATTTGGTCAAAACGATGAAACGAAAACGAAAGTAGATGCTAATATTTTTAACAACAGGGATTTTCCATATTATAAGAGGAAACTAATAATCAAATTGAAGGTTTGTATATTACAGCAAAATGATTACTTAATTCATAAATAAAAAAAGAACCTACTCTGTTATTCATTCTGGTAACCTCGAAGTGATATTTTAAAAAGGCCTTTGAAATTTGATAGATTTTCAAGCTACTTTTGTTTTCAAGAATCATATTAGTTATAGCTTTACTCTGTTCCTTTGCTGGTATGTGGTTCCGCCTAGATTTAGATGTTTTCACAAAGGTGTGTCCCGGGTTATTCAGTTTCCTCTACTAATAAATATACCATGATCTATATATGACTATTAACTTTTAATATGCATCATAACCACAGGGCTCAATCACTGCTGACATATTAACTAATAACAAATTATGAAAGAAAATTTTTAAAACAGTAACTCATATTTACTCAAACTCATTTATATATATTTATTAAACAACTTGTATACTGAGTGTGGTATTTAATGAATAAATACGACGGAACTGACACAAATTTTTAAAAGAGCTGACACAAAATTGATTTCTTGTTTAAAGAAAGATAACTCTATTATATAAATATGTTCTCAACAGAAACAAAAACGAGGTTTCCATTCGTTTGATGTGTTGGAGCTTTTGATTTTGCCATTTGATAAGTAACTTTCCGTTTTGAATTTTCCTTGGAGTTCGGTATTTTTGTTATTTTACTTTTTTACAGTTATTAAACATATTAAATTGCATGTATTACTATTTAACAATTGAATAATTATAGATAAATGTTACAACAAGACTGATAACTTTCTCAGTGCAAAAAGTTGGAGTATTATACGAATCCATGTATTGCTAAGAATTAGGCCTATGTCCAATGTGGACCAATGTCTAGCCTTGTTGTTACTTATGAAATGGAGTCTACTTAATCCCCCTATTGTAAATAATCATCTTAATTAAACTTTTTCATCATGTTTATTGCTAATACTACCTAAGGCAGTTTATATATGAAGCCCCTATGGAATATAAGAGTAATGGGCCTATGCATATTTATTAAATAAGTGGTGATGGTTTGGTGGTTTGGCCGGAGGGGAGGTCCTTTGACTTTTAACCAGCATATTTTTTTTAAACCAGTTGGATTTTTAAATCAGACTTGGCAAGATATCTTTGTACGTTAAAATTAACTCATTGATGAATGCCCAATACATGTAAATATATACAAGACTAAGAGTAAGAGAAAAAAAGAAAGGAAAACTTATGGAGACGTGTAATGTTCAAATAAAGGAATCATGCTTACCAGCAAATAACCTTGTATTCGTTCAAAACTGCAGTCAAAATGATAAATGTATTGCCTAAAAAAGGGACAGGGGTCAAATCTTTCCTTGTTAATCTGTTGGTAAAAAAGTAAACTGCTATAGATTTAGTAATATTTATGATGTATACTTCTGTACTTTCAGTAACATTACAACAATGGCAGAGAGTTTAGTACAACTTCCAGAATGGGCATACCAAGCATTAGATACAGATAGTCAGGAGGTATAAACTGTAAAATAAGATTGTTATCCAGACATGAATAACAATGTGTAAAATTTTCTTTTAAAAAAAATATGTGAATTATTTTGTAAATGAATATATGTTTAATGTTGCTGTCTCAATGACAAATACCATAGTCTCTGACAATATAGTCTACTATTTCAGTACAAAAATGTAAAAAATGAAGGGGCAGTGATTTTATAAACAATTTGCCAATTTGACCAAACTAATCATTTCAAACATCAGTTGAGATCAGATTGATTAAAGTTTAAAATAAGACAATATATAGAAATTACAGCCATTTTTTTGGGGGGATCATATCTTGTAGAAATATTGATTTGTTTGCTTGTTTTTGTCTGAATATTAAATGCTGTTCAATGAAGCAGAATTTGTAGTTTGACAGTTGTGGTACATTGAGATTTTTAACATTGACAGTTTTGAAAGTTTTGGTTGTATTGACAGTTTTAGTAGTATATTCAGGTATGGTAGTATTGAAGTTTTGTTAGTCATGTGTATTTGGAATTCTGGTAGTACTGACAGTTCGGTAGTATTTGTAGATCTGGTAGTTTTGACAGTTTTGGTAGAATATGCAGATCTTCCAGTATATACAGTTTTGGTAGTATATTCAGGTATGGTAGTATTGATGTTTTGATAGTCATGTGTATTTGAAATTCTGGTAGTACTGACAGTTCGGTAGTATTTGTAGATCTGGTAGTTTTGACAGTTTTGGTAGAATATGCAGACCTGCCAGTATATGCAGTTTTGGTAGTATATTCAGGTATGGTAGTATTAAAGTTTTGATAGTATTTATATTTCTGGGAGTATTGACAGATTTGGTAGAAAATGCATTTTTGGCAGTATTAACATTTCTAATTGAATTTGCAGTTTGATAATATTGACGGCTTTGGTAGTATATAGTTTAGACAGTTATGACAGTTCTTGGTAGTATATGCAGATCTAATAGTATATGCAGTTCCTGTAGTATGGGCAGCTTTGGTAGTATTTGCAGTTTTGGTAGTAAAGAAGGTGTGTGTGTTATTTACAGATCGGACATTATTGACAGTTTTAAAAGTATTTGATTGACATTTTTTATAGTATTTGCAGTTGTGGTATTATTGACGGATTTGGTAGTATTTGCAATTCTGGTGGTAATGACAGTTTTGATAGTGTATGCAGATTTTAATAGTAGTCTTGACAGTTTTGGTAGAAAATGCATCTCCTTATTTTGATATATCTGGTAGTATTGGCATTATGACAGTTTTGATAGTTATCATCTTAAAATATATACAAAGTTTTTAGGACTTAGTGCAACTAACAGTAAGCAGAAAGTAATATCCAATAGCCTTACTTATCGCACCTCGGGTGAATTAGTGATGTTGTGATTGGTTTGATGCTGTCACGTGGTGACCCACTATGAATCCGTAAGGGGTCAGAAGATTTCATTGGGGTATCATCTTCTATAAATGTTATTGTAGTTCATTGTTTATTTTTATCAAAACTTGGCAGGAAAAGTTCCGTGTGATAAATTCGTTATACGGTTGACTACTGACCGTATAGTCACTTATGTCTATGCTTTGGGAGATCGACTAACCATATATAATAAAAGGTGGCTAACGAATGTCAAGACCGTCTCCGCTTCGGACCCTTTTGTCACCATTAACTTAAAGTAAAATACTCCCTACCTTATATGAATCATTTTATGGAATATTTTCCTTTAAAACTACGCATATTTCAAAGCAACCCCAGTTTTCCTCTTCATGATAATCTTACTAGTATTCACTAAACCGTTGTGTAAACTTGACCTACAAACTTCTCACTTATGGATTTTACTAATTCTCTATGGATCTGTAGGGGGTCAGCAGCAAACCATATAACTTACAGTCTGGGCCCTCTTTGAAGAGTTTATGAATCATTTGATATTTATAGTAATTTTGTGAATATTGTATATTTGTCCATATGTCCATACGTCCCAAAACATTTTCCGTAGCATTTTTCTTAGAAAGTTCAATTTTTTCTCAGGAAGTACAAATTAGAGCTTCCTGAAATTTTTTATCAGTTTGCATGTGAACATGCTATACCGTGCAATGCAGTTCAGATTCATCGATCCTCGGGTTACCGAATACTTATATATTCTAACACATAATTACCATGTGCGAAATTTTCGTCGCAACTACAATTTACAACTTCTCGAAAGTTGCTATCGAGCTTCGTGTGAACTTGCTTTATCGTGTGATGAGTTTTCAACTTCATCGCTGATCAACTTCCTGTTAATCGAATTATAAACGCGGGTGTATCTTCTCTTATTTTCTCTAAATATCAAAAATGTATAAAATATTAGGCATATATAGAACATGCAAAAAGTGTTTGATCTTTATTTATACTAATGACTTCATATTGACTGATGTTAAAAAAAAACTTTTTTATAAAGGTCAAAGAGGCAGCAGAAAATTCCGATAATCACTCTCTGTTAAAAGTGGATGTGAAGGGCAAATTGACTAATAATGAACCATGCCAGTTTATCATGGATGTCAATGGAAATAGTTGTAATATTTATCAGACAGAGATAACCCGAGTGAGAAGTTGTTTATTGAAAAAAGTTGGGGGTGAAAATGGTGATACAAAGTATGGTGTACAGATATCTACTATGATTGGAGTTGATTTTGTCTGGTTCCTGATATTATTTGAGTCATTAGATGATACCATGAAGGTTTTGAACATTTGCCGTCGGAGTTTACACTCAAAAGGTGGATACATTGATTATCTTTGTCCAAAATGGACAGGTAGTCTAGAAATCCAGGTGTCCACTTTACAAGGAGGTTTCTCAGATGATATCCCTGAAGAGAGTTATACTATCATTTTGGATGAAGAAGCGTTCTTTTTGTTCCGAGACTTCAATAAAAGACTGCCGGACTTTTTTTTAATGTTTTACAAAGAAGGCACAGACCATAGTATAGAAAGAGCCCTTGTACAACACTATAGCAATGATATCGTACTGGAAAGTGTCAAGATGAAATTTGTCATAAAAAATGCTGTAGGTATTTATTGAAAAAAAATATAAATTTCATCTAAACTCTACCAACCTTTTTGTTTTTAATTAGTGTATAAATTTTTTTTAAAATATCACTTCGAGGAAAAGAAAATGAATTTGTGTGCATACAATAGATAAGCCAATTCCAAAGATAATTTTTAAATGAAAAGTTTTCAAATTAATTCCCTATTGAAGGATCATCTTTTCTGAACTGTCAGTAATATAAAAATAAATGCATTTTCTTAAAAAATAAAAAGTGAAAACAAAATGCATGTACATTAAAGATCTTTTTTTATTAAAGGTTGGCTATAGCAGTTTTACTGAAGCTATCAAAATGATCAAACCAAAACCAAAGCAGATCTTTGAAGGTAAGTAAAAACATGTATTACTTGATGTAAGCTCAGTTATTTAGACCTTTTTCTAACCAGATAGTTGTTCTTGCTGAGAAGTAATGCTTGACATAACAATGTTTGCCCAAGAAATTATTGCCATGATTTTAAAATTTAAACATGAAAATGATAGCTGACATGTCAATCTCCATGAAATTCAACAAAAACCGCCAATTGATTTGATTTTAACAATTAAAGTGTGTTGTAGAGAAATGAAGCCTTGCAAGAACTACTACTGTTACCAGATAAGTTCACTCAGATCATTTAAAGTATTGTCAATGTGACAAATAATTAACAATAGTGAAACACTGTTCTAGGATTTTACTGCTATCAAAAAGCAATAATTTACACAAGTGAATTTAAATAAAAAGGTAGGATGTGAAATAAATTGATTGGCTGCTTATGTCCAGTGGAAAAATGATGGCATACTCAGGTCTATAACATGTTAATGACATATTACTGCGCACTGCTTTGTAGTAGATGAACACATTGCGTCAGATAATAATTTACTTACTCACAAGGTTAGAGTCTAGAGCTAGAAGATATATGAATTATCTTACTTCAAGACTACTATTCTTGTTTTTGCTACTAAATGTGGTGTCCCTGATGGAATGCCAAAATTAAATGCTTTAATTTAACCTGTCTTGTGAATGCACCTGCAACCCTTTGCCCTTTAAGTGAGCATGTTTAAATCGTAACTCCAAGGAAATTGCTATGGGATTATTGAAAGCTGTTTTAGACAAAATTTGTCTGAAGGAAATGAATTGTGAATGTTCTGTATTAAGAAATGTTTGTCTATAATATTTTTCTTTTTACTTCAGATCATTCAAAGATTGCCAAATATCTTACAGATTTAGAACAAAGTAAGTCACTCATAATATTACATTGATGTAACAATGTATAATAGGATGAGAAACACATGTGAATTAAAAGAGTGTTCTTTTTTTTTAATTTTTGAAAAAATATTGGTCATGTGAGTATTTTTTTAAAAAGAAAAATAAATTTAAATTAGAGACAATTTTGAATGAATACTCAAATTTCAAGAGATATTATGTTTACCATATTGTAATAAAAATAGACATTTTCTGTATTGTCAAAATTGGAGTTAATTTTTAGGCCTCCAAATGGAAAGATTTGTTGTAAAACCTATTTTACTTTGGCTTCTGTTATACTGAATTTTTATGATTAAATTGTTATACAATTTAAAAACAATTCGTACAAATCAATACAGAAATGAACCTATTAAGTAATCTAAAAATAAGCTAAAATATTGTGTCAGGAATTTGCGTAATCATCCATAGTTTGAGAATAGTTGGTTAAGTTTAATAAAAGAAAGAACTTTTTTTATTCAAACAATTATATATGGAAAGTGAAAAATAAGAAAATTCTTTTCATTCAAGTTCAAGATTTGACACCCCACTCAGTATACTGACCTTTAAATGGGTGATTTTATGTTTTCGGGTAAGATAATAGAAGGTACTCACTGTTATTGAGAGAGTATGAAAATGAAGTATCTGTGTGATGGGTTTAAATCCTGATGTACTTACAAATACGTACATGTTATTTTTAATTTACAGTTAATCATGATGAAAATGTCAGCCAAGAACTTCAGAAAAGACAAGGTATTTATTTTAAACACTTAGCAACGTCTCACCTTTTTTGTCTCGTACATGTAGGCATTCTGTTTTGGGCAGTGGGTCAACAAACTGTTAAAACATGTGATTAGGTCACTCTAAGGGGAACTTCTAATGGTAAGTCAATGATATTTGGTTAGCAGTATTATAGGTTGCACTTTGTAAATACAGCTGTTTCTCAAACCACGCCTCTTTTGGGGAGATATTTAATATTCATAGGTATGTTAATTTGTTAACGTACTGGTTCCCATTGATGATCTCTGTGTTTCATCTCATAGAGACATCACTTGGGAATGTAACCAGTATAGATAAACATGGTAGCGGCTAAATTTTAATTCTTAGGAGGTCCAAAAATGGAGGTAAGGGTAGTATAGAATTTTAGTATAAGTTTAAACTCTTAGAAGTTCAGGGCATATAAATGTTGAAAATATGCCGCACAGCCCTATATTTTGACCTTTGAATAAAATAGTAGTGCATATAAACTTTCCGTTCTGGGATATTATTTTTCACGAAACTTCATAGTAAAAGTGTCACAGTTTTAGCCGCAAAGGGAGTTCCTATGGGAAATTGCATTGTCTGTATTTACAGAATTGCAACCTATATAGGGTTAAAAAATAGAACATACAGAATTTCACAAAATCTGGTTTATCTCAGAGATTTTAAAGAATTTAACTCAAATATGAAGTTTTATAAATATTTCATGAAGATTGAGAAAATCCTGGGCCTTAACTATGATGACTCAGCATAAATTCACAGTTTACAGTATGCATGGTTTACTTAAAGCCCTGAATTCAAAATAAATTCATAATATATGCCTATTTGTAATTTAAATTGTTTAGAAGTGCTTATATTTACTCTTCGCAGTAATTGCAACTCATTGATCCTTCCTAAATATTTCTGGTGGGGTGTTTTTGTCCTGTCGATAACCCAAAAGTAAGCCGTAACGCCTAAATGTGCTTTTTTGTGACTGCGGCATAAAAAAGTACAAGCTAGAATTACAAAAAGACCTCAGTAAAACTTACAATAGTGTGTTCTATCCTAAATATGTAGTAAATATTTCACATTGCTAGAAACAGGGAAAAAAAATAGGAAATGTGAGGCCCCAGGGGCAAAAAACAGAGGAAAATGCCTACCCCTGAGTCATAAAATAGATAATTTAACTTGTAAATGCTATGATTTTTTTATTTTAAAGGTCTTTTATAAAGTAAACAATAACTGTGCTAGGAAGTTATGCAAAAATCAGATGTAAGCAGTCATTTCAATCAAACTTTTAGTGAATTTATGCACCAGACTGATATCTTCATAAATACAACTTTTGCAAATATGCCTTTGTTTAAACACTTCTAGGACATATATTAACTAACTTATGTTAGATATATGGTTAGGGATGATACTGTTGTGACAAGAATTCTAAACTGACCATTTGAGGCAGAAATTGTGAACTTTCATTGACAAATAGGCATACAGTAAGATGTGGACTGGAGACACAGGCAGGATTGGATACTTTGTATAATCTTGAATGTTGGAATGCTTAACTACTAAACAATACATTTATAGTATTCTAAAATGCTTTCAATTTGTTATCAGAATAGTTTCAAACAGGTTTTAGACAGTTCATGTCAGAAAACATGCACATAGGGTAAGCTGGCAATAATTAGAGTCTTGTTTTCAAAATCTTTAAAAAATTGAAACAGGGGTAGGGGTATAAAATGTACTGTAAAAGGAGACTTAGAGTATATGCAGTGATTTCTTTAAGGCTATAATTCTGATAAATAAGTATTGTTGTGAGAAAAAGTGTTTTTAGAGAGTTTTCTATTTGAATAAATGTTTGTATAGGTTGCACTTTGTAAATACAGCTGTTTCTCAAACCACGCCTCTTTTGGGGAGATATTTAATATTCATAGGTATGTTAATTTGTTAACGTACTGGTTCCCATTGATGATCTCTGTGTTTCATCTCATAGAGACATCACTTGGGAATGTAACCAGTATAGATAAACATGGTAGCGGCTAAATTTTAATTCTTAGGAGGTCCAAAAATGGAGGTAAGGGTAGTATAGAATTTTAGTATAAGTTTAAACTCTTAGAAGTTCAGGGCATATAAATGTTGAAAATATGCCGCACAGCCCTATATTTTGACCTTTGAATAAAATAGTAGTGCATATAAACTTTCCGTTCTGGGATATTATTTTTCACGAAACTTCATAGTAAAAGTGTCACAGTTTTAGCCGCAAAGGGAGTTCCTATGGGAAATTGCATTGTCTGTATTTACAGAATTGCAACCTATAAGCATTGACATATATCTCATTGTCATGGAGATTATTTGTTGGCCCTGAACCTTCAGTCATGGTTGATTGACTGTGGATGTTTTGCGTAGTTTACATGTGTTAAAGTATTACTATATTAACCTCAAAATTAGAATTTTACTTTCAAAATTACATACAGGCGAGACATATATGTGTGTCAAAATAAATTTGATACACACATGTACACTTAATTTTTATAAAGACCATTTAATTTAATTTGATACGAAAATTAAGGAAACTTTCACTCTCCGGCACTTTTTGAAAATTTCTCTGATTGTCTTTTTTTTCACAAATTGTTTTGGTACATACAAATTGGTTGGACTGGAACAGAATGATGATTTTTGTTAAGAATTTGTTATAAATTAAAATGCTTCTACTCTGAAAAATATATATTGTTGTTTCTTAAATGTGCACATGGTTCTCCTGAAATTATAATACACTGTTTATATATATATATATATATATATATATATATATATATATATATATATATATATATATATATATATATATATATATATATATATATATATATATATTAGGCTAAGTTGACCCTAAATGGATTTGGCTATTATTTTATGTGTTCATGTAGCTCTTCAGCTGTTTCGGCTCTTATAAATCATTGGCTTTTAAATTTTCGACATTGAGCGCTGTTGATGGTAAATCTAGAAAAGCGCATCGGATGCTTGAAATTTATAAAATATTGTTTTCATTATCTCGAACTGCAACGCATCATTTCCTTTTAAATTTTAACAAAATGATTGCATATAATGATATAATTGTGAAGTCATTATCTTGAACATTATTTCTTTGATTTATTAATTTTCTTAATAATTGTAAATAATAGCTTTGTTTCTTTTTAGAGAAGAATCATAATATATCCATGTTCCAAAATGGACTTGATAGCATACTTCTTTGTTAGATCGACTTGGAATATATTTTTTTCTGTACCATTTATAAACTAATCAGATGTTTAGTTCATCTATTTCTTCTTCAGAAAACCCCTCAGGATCAAGATACAGACAAGGTAGAAATAGGACATTAAAATAAGAGAATATATTTAAAGCGTCAAAATTGATTGCTTCTTCAATGATTAATTACTTCTAAACAGTTACTGGCTAAAATTAAAATGTTTAATTATAAGTGTCATTTAGAATTTGAAGTTTAACCTTGCTAAATGATATTATATAATGACTGTTTAAGAACAATTACAGGCTCAAACCTTGAAGTGAAAATCTAAAGCAAAATATCATGATACTAATATGATGATATGAAAAATACATTGTGGTCACAAACATATATGAAAAACACATTGTCGTTACACACATATATTAAACTGATTCAAATAGTTAGTGTACACCTTCGAATATAATTAAATGAGGTTATATATAATATATTCATTTCAGACTATGAGACAGAATGGGGAGAACAATCAAACACTTCTGAGGCTGGGAATCAAGCTTCTGTAATATCAAGTAAGTTTAGACCTTAAAACATGCACAAACTGACATTGGAGAGACCATACATTAGAACCATTATAGCAAGTAGGTGCAGATCCCATAGTTCAAAAAGTGAAATGAGAACACCATTTTCTCATTGAACAGTCACACATCATAGAAGAGAGAACCATTCAATATAGCATGTAAGTTAATATCGCAAAGAACAGCCACAAAATGACTGAGTTGAAAATCATTCGTTATATCCTGTAATGTTATGTCGCATAGAACAGCCAAACACTGAAAAATGAGAAAACAATTCAATGTATCCCATACTTTCATATCTCATAGAACAGTCAAAAATGACAAAGAATAGAACCGTTCATTATAGCCTGTAAGTTAAAATCTAATAGAACACCCATAAAAAGGTAAAGGGGAGAACCTTTCACTGTAACCAGCTGTAAGTTTATATCTCATAGAAAAGTCATAAGATGAAAGAAAAGTGACCAATTATTATAGGCTGAAAGTTTATGTATAGAACAGTCATAAACTGACAGAGGAGAGAATCATTCAGAATAGCCTGTAAGTTTATATTACATAGAACAGCCATAAATGGACAGAGAAGAGAATCATTTATTATAGCCTGTAAGTTTATATCCCATAGAACAACCATAAACTGACAGAGAAGAGAAATATTTATTATAGCATGTAAGTTTATATCGCATAGAACAGTCATACACTGACAGAGGAGAGAATAATTCATTAAAGCATGTAAGTTTATATTGTATAGAACAGTCATACAATGACTGTTGAGAGAATAATTAATTATAGCATGTAAGTTTATATCGCATAGAACAGTCATACACTGACAGAGGAGAGAATACTTCATTAAAGCATGTAAGTTTATATTGTATAGAACAGTCATACAATGACAGAGGAGATAATAATTCATTATAGCATGTAAGTTTATATCGCATAGAACAGTCATACACTGACAGAGGAGAGAATACTTCATTATAGCATGTTAGTTTATATCGCATAGAACAGTCATAAACGGACAGAGAAGAGAATCATTTATTATAGCATGTAAGTTTATATCGCATAGAACAGCCATAAACTGACAGAGGAGAGAATACTTCATTAAAGCATGTAAGTTTATATTGTATAGAACAGTCATGCACTGACAGAGGAGAGAAAAATTCATTATAGCATATAAGTTTATATCGCATAGAACAGTCATACACTGATAGAGGAGAGAATAATTCATTATAGCATGTTAGTTTATATCTTTATATCGCATAGAACAGTCATAAACTGACAGAGGAGAGAATTATTCAATATAGCCTATAAGTCTATAACTTATTGAAAATCACAAGCCAGACACAAAAATGTATTGCTATAAAAACACTATGATTATATCTCATGAAACAATTCCAGTCCCTCAAGAAAGAGAACCAAGCTTCTTTGCAAATAAGTTTATATTGCATAGAATAATGCTTAACTGGCAAGGGAGTGACCAAACGAACAATATTTCTTGTTTGATTATATGTTAATGAACAAATACAAGATGATAAAGTGGGAAATATACCGTTTATACATTATAGTAAGTAAATAAACATTTCATAGAAATAAACTAAAACTGAAAGGAAGGATCAAAGGTAACATTTTTTTTCAAATGTTTGTAAAATGAAATATTTTGCATTTCCAGGGGAGTTAGATCAAGCTTTGGAGAGCTTATCGGTTAACGAAGATTTGAGTTTACCTTGGATAGTGGCTGAAGATGAAATGAAATTAATGCTAGAAAATCCAGAGGCATTAGAAGACAGCATGACAGATATGTTATCTGGTGGTAAGTTGAGCTGAATGCAATATTTAAGAATTACGGGTGATAAACTATTAGAGAGTGAGGCAACACTGAATTCCTAACAGGTTTTAAGACAACACAAAAGATAATGTCATAAAAAATTTCACTGAAAAAAAGTATTTTCAACTTAAATATTTTCTGTTTATTTGCTTTCAGGGTTAGATCCAAATGATGCAAACCATTTAATGAAAAGTTTTAGTGAAATCAAAGAACATCTTACACGCCAAAGGTGAGTTACATGAGATAAGGACATGGAAGGAATTAACATTTCTACTGTCAAAGGTTTAGTTTAGATATGCAGAAAAATGGGCATGACTGTCTTACACTAGTCAATTTATTTTGAACTGAAATGTTCATTTTGATTTGAACCGATCTTAAAGACTGATCAATGAATTAGTAATTCATGTTTATTCTTTCATTCAAATTTTCATATCCACAACGGTAAATTAAGGTCTGATATATTTATTGTTAGTTGGCTGTTATTGACCTGTTATGACAGGCTCTGTGAACACACAAAGTCTTTGCAGAGGGGTGTCTGTTTGTCTGTGTGGGATGTATACAGACACAGCCACATCTGTTTTGCTGTGTAAAAACTAACGTATATAGCCATGTTCAATTGGTGAAAATTGAGTCATTGAACACAATAAAGATACATAATTGAAACTGATATGATTGTTTTACAAGAGGATGGTATGGCTCAATGTAAGACCTGGTTCAGTTAACCATTTATTCAAAAATTAACCAAGTCCGGACTATCATAGCCAGTAGCAAACTATTCCCATGAAAAATGTTTGAAAAGATTTCCTCAAAACTAGCCAGTATATATATAGAATTTTATTTTATAAACCAAGCATTCTAATTCCCAATTCCTACCTTTGGAACACAGAAAAAGCATAATTATTGGAACAGTAACTGAATGGCAGTGCGTGTAAATGTCTTAACAGTACTGAGTTTACCACTAACATAATCATGCTGACTCATTGACACAGACATATTAATGAGCACTTTATAGTCAGACCTTCCCACAACAACAAAACAATCCCGTTTTACCTTTCAAAATAATATTCCAAATAATAGTTGCCTCGTACGTATACCTTTATTATGTGTTCTGCATATTTATATTGTGAGATATCATCTGTGAGTTACATAATGAAACTGTTATGGCATGTTCTTGAAGTGAATTATATCAGCTAAGCAACTGATATGTTTACAATTTCCATATAAGGATAATCTGACAAATCCATTTATTTGGTTTCATTGTTTGGTTTTCATGATTGAAAGTAGACTTTTTCCCTTTTTTACACACCAACCAAAATAAGACTTAATGAGTTTGGGTTATCAATGTAGGGTCAAACATAATGACGTTGTGGAAATTCATGTTCAAAGTTATCTAGTCCAGGTTAAACACAACTTATGTGACAAAGCCTTGCTGTTGGATTTTACTAATAGCTGAGCAGGGTCATACAGGTGCAAGGAAGATAGATAAAATTTAATATAAAAGATCACAGAACATATCACCTGTTATTGATAAATTTCTTGAAAAAAGGTGTTTATGTCACAGAAAATGTTACCGTTTAAAAAATTGTCAAAAAGAAATAAAAAGAATTGGAAAAATATCTTTCTGTTTATATATATGTCACCATTGATTATGTTATTTCAGATATGATCTTGCTTTGTCTCGTCTGAAAGGAACAAAGACTGTATTCCAGGAATCAGCAGTCCCAGAAATAAAGAGACTGATAGGAACTGATGAACTTGAACTTCTGAAGAAATTGTATTTTCACTCTTTAATCGAAGGCTTATGAAGAAAATATTATCATGATTATAATACTGCACCTATTCATCAAACTAAGAAATATTATTTAGTCTTTAACTAAAGATTTTTGAGATATTGGCTGGATTATTATTAGAAATAGTTTATGGTAGCAGGAATCAAAAACCTTTTGGTTAAAATTGCTATTTTATCACATTCATCTTTAATATGTCTTCTTTTATCTGAAGACTCTGATTTCACATAGTTTTTGTTTTGTAGAAAAGCACAGTTTGATTGTATAAAACAAGTTTTGTAAGTGATTTTTGATTTTCTTCAAGGACGAAAATGCGAAACATTATACTTTGTTGTGACAGAAGTTCAACTAATTTTTTTTGACTCTCTATCGTACCAAAGTTTGTGTAACGTCATCAGTTTTCGTCAAACTGGCAATAACATTTTCCCAATATCAATGCAATATCATTTTGACCGTCGTGAGTTTAAAAAAAAAGTTTTATTTTAAGATAATCATTGTGTACTAATATTACTATTAGTATTTCTTTTGATATACTTTTACATTACTGATCTCGACTAGTGAAACCTTTCATTTAAATATATTTTGTGTTTAAGTGAAAATTTATGCAAATGGTTAATTTTTACCTACATTTTTTACATGATTTTTTTAAAGTTCTGTAACTCATGGATCATTAGTGTGTTTGTCTCTCATATAGTCATAACAATGGAAACATTTAAGATATATACATATATAATATACTGAAAGTTGTGAATTTCTTATCACATTTTATCGGTGAAAATTGAAGTGTGAAATTCCATAAAATATGCATAGCATTTTGTATAACAAATGCGAAAAAGGTAAAGTTCTTGACAACACAAATACGGAAACATAGGGGGGGGGGGGGGCTAAAAAAATGTAAATGTAATACTAAAAATGTCAAAGTAGACAGTCAATCAAACAACAGACATGTTCATACAGTGGAGAGAGTGAAGTATTTGTATTTACATATTAAGCTTTATTAACATGCGTAATTTTGGGTCCTCAATGCTCTTCAACTGCCACCTTAAATTGGCCTTTTTAACTTTTTTGATTCGAGCGTCACTGATGAGTATTTTGTAGACGAAACGCGCGTCTGGCGTACAAAAGTTTAAGCCTTGTATCTATTATGAGTTATTATTTAGTGTATAATGTAATTCGATTTTACATGTCATTCAGATCACATATGCTTATTAATCAAGCTAATGAGAATAAATCATTTCTAAGTTTGTCCTATACATGACTTATTATAACTTTTTTTATAATGATTTTACTTTTATTAAATTCATGTACATGTTTTATATAAAGAAATTGTATTCCATAACAAAGTTTTAAATTTAGTGATTTTGTTATAGAATAATCTAATTTAGGGCATGACCCATGAATGATTTTAAATAAATTTTGCATTTGAAAACAATTCTGATTTTAGTTACACATGATAGTGAATGTAAAACAAGACAAAAACAAGAAAATATGCCTCAAAACAAATAAACAGTACTAATATTGACATTCTTAATTTACTATAATCTACACAGGTAAAACGTTGAATCATTTTATCATCAGATATATTCCCCATAGTGTAGTAATATTATGATGGTAAAGATATTAATAAGATTTACAGAGAGGCCAGCAATACCAAAGGGACCTCCGAAAACAAACTGACAATGCCATGGGAAATATGAACAACGACCAAAAGACAAACAACAGTATACAAAATACAACATAGAAAACCAAAGAATGAGCACCATGAACCCCACCAAAAACCGGAGGTGATCTCGGGTCCACCGGAAGGGTAGGCAGCTTTTACTCCACATGTGGCAGCTGTTGTGTTGCTCATGTAAGCAAACACCCGGTGATTAGTCTAATTCGGTAGGTCACATTTGAGGAAAAGTTGACGTGATTGTGGTTACAAAACCTGGAACATATATGTCGTCATCTGTGAAACAGATATTCAATAACGGTCAAACAACTCGTGATGGCGTCCGTAAAATTTTCAAAGGGATGATTTCAACTTCACCACTTGGAACTCTTGGTCTTATAGATTCCATGTAAGCAGCAACCCTCTATCAAGGAAATTATGATAGGAAATGCAAGCTGTGGAATATCGTATCCACTGGGAGATTTATATTCCATATGCAGGCTACTCTTTAAATCCATGTCCATAAATATGACTCTATTACTGTTGCATAAGTTTTACCTCATTTTGCATTCTCTATGGTCAGACTTAGTTTGCAGTTATAGGTTGGTTCCTAAGTAAATACAGGTATCCATAACAACAAAACAATACATGTGTTGTGTCTAAGTCTGGTTCAAAGAATATCTATCAGCCTGACTTATCTCTTATTACCAAATCAAAGAGGTGGAAGACACCAAAGGAAGAATAAAAAAACTCAGAAGTCGAAGAGAGACCGGGTCAAAAAACTAAACACGACGAAATGACAAGCAACAGTCTACAAAACACTGCATGAAAAACGTAGCAACGGAAACCCCACCAAAAACCGGGGTGATAGCAGGTGCCTGGGAAGGGTAGGCATATCCTGATCAACATGAAGCACCTATCATGTTGCTCATGGTAAGTAATAATTCGGTGTTATGTCTCATTAAATTATTTGGTAATAATCAAGAAAAGAGAACGAGATAACGGCTTCTACATTTGGGACATAACTGTGGTCATCTGTGACACAGTTATTCCACAACGGTAAACCAACTCATGATGGCATACTTAAAATTTTCGAAGAGATGACTGCAACTTTATCGCTAGGAATTCGTCGTTCATAAGAGCATGACACAATTATTACAGAGGACAACTTTAGTTTTCAAGATTCGGTCTAGATCTGTTCCTCAGCAAAATCAACATGTTTCTTTTTTTTCCATGAAGTTTATGTCCATCTTACGTCTCATGTTTTCATGTTTAAGAGGTCAGATTGAGATATAGTATATGGGACTGTTCCTTTTTAAATCTGCATCAAAGGTGAACACATTTAACAAACATATATTAATTGAATATACGAAGCCATTGATACTATTTGTGTTCGTTGTGAAAGTACAGTATACTGTCAGTAACTTGTATTACTATGGGGACTAATTGTACCCTTCTTATTGCATATTTGTTATAATACTGTTAAGAATGTTAAATTCTATAATGACCCAAAGATATAACATTTGATAGTTGATTTCGACTATACCGACAGATATACAGAAAATATATTCTCACTGAAGAATTGAAATTTTCAAAACTGAAAATTGCTCATTATAAATCCAACTTTAATGGTGATGTTTTTTACTGTGATATTATACCTATATTCCAATTAAGAGAGGCGGAAAATACCAAAGGGATATTTCAAACGCATAAGTCCAAGACGAACTGATAACGACAAGGCTGACTAACCGACGTTTACTTTCCAATGGTCATTTTCCTCTTCATAGGGATGTTCGCTTCTTCATGGAGTGTACTCAGCTTGCTTCAGCTTGATTCGCAGATTTCACAGATCACAGGAATAAAAATATCATAAATTGTTTTTTCAAAAAAACTCATTTACAGGGCAAACAAATTTAGAAATTATTTTTATTATTTTCCAATTTGGTTTAACAAATTCACTGATAAATATTCGTTTTACAGCTATTCGTGAATAATTGCAGCTGACTTTTTTGTGGGGAGATTAGTATCAATTCACTTATTCAAGTATGAAACAAGACTATAAATACAATGGTTTTTTTTTTTATTTATTGAGTACAATTTTTAGAGGCATTTTTCAGTACAACATGGAAAATTGGCAAATAATCTATTATTTCACAGAATGAATATATATAGAAGTTTTTACTCTTGAAAACCATCTTATTGGCTACGAAAAACAAGCTTAAAATTTTATCGAAACCTTTTCTAAATAACCCGAAATTTCTTTTGAACATGGTAAGAGGAGAAAAAAAATATTGCACCACCTATCAAAAAATGTTTCAATATATTCTTGTATGACATTATAAAGATTGCATCTTTTTATATGTTGTTCTATAACTACTGTTTGTTTTGATTTGCTTATGACGAGGGTTGTTTGAATAAGTAACTTCAAATCAATTTTGCAATTTCAAAATTCGACATTTTTTGAAAATGACCCATATAAATGTAATTGAACTCTGAAAGTAAGGTCTATTTTAAAATCAAAATAAGAACATTCGTTTTTCATAGATAAAGTATTGAAATATCATGAATAATTTGATAGAGACATGCATGTGTATAGCCAACAAAATGACATATACAAACCAAAACTGAGGTTAACTACAACTGTCAGAAACTCATGCAACCTTTTTAAAGTCTGGCACAACAAATTCAGCCAAGCCATAAAACCAGGTTCAACCCATCATTTTTTTTTTAAATCTTCTGTAACAATTCAGGAATATGGCAGTTGTTATCAAATAGTCCATTTCTATGTATGTTGGCGTTTGGTTTTGTTGCAGTTCTGTTGTTCCGTTGTTTTCCTCTTATAGTTGATGTGTTTCCCTCGGTTTTAGTTTGTAACCCGGATTTGTTTTCTCTTAATTGATTTATGACTTTTGAACAGGGTATACTACTGTTGCCTTTATTTACCGTCGGTATGAATGTTATAACGTGTGTTCAGTTGTTTATAACTGTTGTTGTTAACTTATTGAGGATCATGACCCCAATCGTTTTTCAAGAAAGGTAAATAGGGCGTATAAAATTGCTTCAGAAATTATCTAGAGTACTTATTATTTTTCTGATTTCGATTTAATTTTTTGCTTTAAATGTGGCTCATAATAATTCCTACCTGCAATATTCAATCAGATTTGACTCCTCAAGGTACACTTTCTAAAATAGATATAATAAAAAGGTAGTATATCGATCTTTAGTTAATAAATTGAAACAAACGGAAACGAGACTAGGTTTCTCAACAGGTTAATCTTGTCGTGCTTTACATAAATCACCGCCATACGGTTCTGAAATTATAACTTGAAACAAGGATTTAACCTAAACGAAGAATATGACAAAACCTGTAATAATGTCAGATGGAACATCGCGGACATTTCTTATCTATGACAGTATGTGAATGGTCTAGTAAACATGAGAAACCGACACACTTTAACCATTTACCAATTCTTGTTGACCGTAAAACTCGGTTTTTGTTATAATATACAGAATTGTTATCCTTTTTATCCTTGATTTCAAAGCAAAGGCTAGGAATTTTGTGGAATGTTTCAATAGCGTATATGGTAGATGTAGCTTGATTGTGTTGCAACCTTAGCTTTAAGGCAGCTATATAATTTGATGAACTGGAAGTAGGTAGGTCGGTTGTTGAAACAGACTGAAATTTATGTACACACTTGGAATTTAAATACATCAGTATGTACATAATGCACTTTGGCTAGAGGTATAGGGGGAGGGTTGAGATCTCACAAATCATGTTTAACTCCGCCGCATTTTTGCGCCTGTCCCAAGTCAGGAGCCTCTGTCCTTTGTTAGTCTTGTATGTTTTTTTAATTTTAGTTCATTTATATGTTTTGGAGTTTAGTATGACGTCCATTTTCACTGAACTAGTACACATTTTTATTTCAAGAGTGGCCAGCTGAAGCCCTCCTCCGGTTGCGGGATTTTCTCGCTGTGTTGAAGACCCATTGGTGGCCTTCGGCTGTTTTCAGCTCTTTGGTCGGGTTGTTGTCTCTTTGACATATTCCCCATTTCCATTCTCAATTTTACTTAAATGTTTTTTAACAATTTTGTGCATATCTAAAAATCAAAATGCTATTCAGCGCTACGCATTTGCTGTTGAAGACAATTTTGGTAGAATATTGCATTTTTAAATGTTTCGTTCATTGTTTAAGACCCTACATCAACTGTCAAGATGAAGAACAGGAATAAAAGCCCTGTTCATTGATAAATTATTTATTTTTACTATGTATTGTGTGCGATTTTGTCCCATGTACATTTACTCCATATCCTTTCATTTTCTATTGTCAAAAATTGCACCGAAGAACATCCTTGACAAAATGGTCTAATTTGTCCCCCTACAGGCCGACTATTTTTGTACTCAATACGAAGTAGAAATCCTTCAAACTTTCATAGACAAAAAGAAAAACAACTTGTAAAATTCTTTAATTTCTCTTTCAGTTATATTGATGATGTCCTGCCACAATAATTCACTTTTCAGTGAGTGTTTGTATCTCATATATATATAGCACAGCGAACTTGAGAATAAGGATACTATCGAAACTAAAAGGTCTGCAACATATTTGGATCTTTTCCTTGATATTGACACAGACTAGAATCTATGACAAACGTGATGATCTAAACTTTTCAATTTTCAACTTAATTTTTAATCAAATTTCTCAGTAGTAACATACCCTCTGTCCGATTGTACGGCGTTAACATACCTTAATTAATACGTAATGCTCGTGCATGTTCACATT